GCTTATAACCAAGAATTAAACATCTAGTTCAAATCAACGCGAAATCTAGAACAACCTTTCAGATAGAGCTACCCATCAAAGAAATAGTCGAAGAGACTGAGGCTTACAGACAGAGGCTCATTTCGAGGTTCCAAACTCCCAGCAAGTCGTAGGAACAGTACCAAGAGGCATGAAAATCAAGATCAAATAGAGATCACGTGAACGATCATTCGACGACGCTGGACGTGACCTGAGGACGAGGACAAGAAGAGACCATGAGACGATCTCAGCCACAGTTTACAATGTAAGAAGTACGTCAAATCTCAGCTACAAGTGGGAATATCGAAATCAAGTGCTGCAAAAGAAGCCCAACACTTTGTTATGTTAGGTTATATGTCGGATGTCTGTTTTTGGCAACACTTCAACATCCTGTGAGTACCTAGTAATGAGAAGCGAAAGCAAAATAAAATATCTGTATTTAGATCACGTGCCATAACACATTGCGCATCAAGATTTTTACCGACGACCTGAACAACGTACAAAGAGATGCACCTTTGGAATCAGTCAAAGATTCCATAAAGCAGTAAGGGCAATATAATGATCCAGACAAAGACTGGGCGAACAGGTACCATCTCTGATGTCTACATTTCCAGCAACGAATAATATTTGATCCTAGGCCAGCTCCTTGAAAGAGGCTATGAATACATCTTAAAAGACCATCCCTCAGCTATTAAAAAAATAAAAAATGATTATTGCCAAAGGTTGACTCTAGAAATAGACTTTCCTCTAAATATTCATGCGTGACCTTCAAGGCTGAAGTCAATCAAAAAGACCCGAGATTGCTCTAGGCACTACGATTCGGCAATCTCGCTTTCAGTGGCCTGAATTCTTCTATGGAAGGAGAAAATGGAAAAGATGCCGCCAACATCAACATCGAACCAGCTTATGTGAAGCGTATGCAAGGCAAACAACATAGAAAAGTTTCGAAGTTTGAAAGTCAAGAAGACAAACAGAGTTGACTACAATGGTCCAACACATATTGCAGACCATTTTAAGTCATCTTCTTGGAGGAACAGGTTTGCTCACATTATATGATATATAGAAAAAACTGGGCGTTATTCCTAAGGAGAAATCAAGCCTTGAGACCGAGAAATTAAAAATCAAGGAATGTAGAAAGCCTAAAGCTGGACGGGTACCACATCAAATGCTGCATCAATCGGTGAGAATGACTGCGAAGCATTCAACAATTCAACAAGCAAGTACAGGTGTGGATAATTCATCCAACCACTCGCTACACACCACCCGAATGCATAGCAGACGGAAAACTATACCATTCTTGATTACGTCAGGAAGCAGTTGAAGACAATACTGCCAAGACTTACTGGGCTGAGCGGGACTGTGCCATTTACCTCCTCAACAGATGTCCGACAAAAGGTCAACGTTCACAGACACCATTGCGAGCAGTTGGAGCAACATCAACCAAGTGCACCACCTGAACTGTTTGGGTTTTATTGCATATGCACACACCCGTAGCAGAAAAGAAGAAGGACGACGAGGAAAAGTGCATATTCGTTGGGTACAAGATGAGGACAAAAGCATACGAAGCCTCTACAATCAGTTACAAAGAAGAGCAAGCAGGTAAGAGACGGGGGGTCGAATAGGAAATGAGGGAAAGACCAGAAGAGAAAAGATGAAAAGGTAGGGCGGTCAAGAGAAGGAGGTATGACTTGCAGAGGGGGGAAACCAGAACAAAGGCACCGAGAGGGCCAGCGCCAGTCTATATCTCCCTAACTAGTTTAATTCTTTGCCTTTGTACTTTAGCAGTCTTTTTCTATTGCCAAGTTGTTGTGATAGTAGATCTTCTCAGTTTGTTTGGGTTAGAACTAAGGGATATGAGAACTAAGAGATCTGACGACGATACAGACAGTCCTGATTCGATCGATGGATGGAATACTTATCACACTATTCTGCTTCGTTTGAGATGGATCTGTTTTTTGTCTAGTCTTTTATTGTTATAATGTCGGCGTCTGAAGAGAGTAATTGTTTTTGTTCTTTTTGTATTGTATTTTAAATGCTCTTTTATGTTTGTTTATTTTTTACACGACTAATCTCAAATAGAATTTGATTGACGATGTCAGGGGAGCTTCACTACCTTTACCTGAAGCCACATTTAAAACCAATCGGAGTTATGGTGTACAAGACAAAGACAAATCAAAATGCCGAACAGAATACGAGGCCAGGCTGTTGCAAAAGGCTATAGTCACAGAAAAGTTGACTATGAAGAAGAGTTCGCACCAGTCCGGGAGAGGAATCACACCGATGAGATTATGATTGGCAGCACAGAGACCGCTGGAAGATTCTACCAGCAGATTGAATCTGCCATTCCTAACGCTACTTAGAGAAGAAGTCTACATCAAGCAACCACCAGGGTACGAGTGTGAGAATTCAAGTAAGACAAAAGTCTACAATGCCTGAAGAAGCCATTGTCATGGACTGAAGCAAAGCGCCAGAGCATGAATGCAGAATCGATGCATACTTCCAGAAGAACGGAATTCATCGGAGCCCGTATCGAGCACTCTCTCTATACCAGAAGAAGAAGAAGATGAAGACATCATTGATCGTATGTCTCCTAACGTGGACGACATGTCTTCACCGGCCACAATCCGAAAATTGTTCGCAGGACTGTTCAAAAAATAATATGATCAAGAGTTCGAGATGACTTGACATTGGAGAAATGTCATACCTTTCTGGAGTTAGAAGGTCGCCAATCAGAGAAAGGAATCTTCATCTCTCAGGAAGAAGTATGCAAAGGATATCCTTCATAAGTTTCAACATGAGCAACTGCAATCCAGTCGCAACTCCTGCCAGAATCGGAGAAATGCTGAGGCGAGACACACCAGGAAGCTATATTGATCCAACTCTATCACAAGTGCATTAAGTCGGAGCTGCGCACAACTTAACCATTCACCAGCCCGACATACGTGTTCGCGGTTAGGACTGAGTGAGCAGCATATATGGAGGAAGCCAAGACAGGAGCATTTCAAAGCAGCAAGAGAATCTTTATGCGTATGTCCGCAGAAGTATTGATCAAGATTATTTTATACATCAGTGTTCAGCATTCAAGATTAGTCGGTACACCCACGATATGGTGGATATTTAGATGAAAGAAGAGCACATCTGGGCCTACAGTCAATATCGGTATCAGCAACAATCTCATTGCGTCATCAAAGAAGCACGTCTGTCGTCGCTCTATCAAGTTGCCCGAAGCAGATTACATAGCCAGCATCGACATGTCGTGTCAACAATATGCCTCAGAGTCTCATGAATGAATCTGCAACACCAAAAAAAGCACCCGACAGAGATTCTCATCGACCAACAATCAGCTATTGCACTTGCCAAAATCCGGCGTAGCACATGACGAGAGCAACACATGAGACAAGATATCATTGCATCCGACATTCAAAGCTTAAAAGAAAGACTGTGATGCCCTGTCATATTTGCCAAGTCTGCAAGCACCCATAACGCTGACATCTTCACACAAGCCATAAAGACAGAGACATTCTTGTAAGCTTAAGAAGAAGCGTGGACTTGTGAAGAAATGAACAGTGTGTATGAGGGGCGAGGATTAAATCATCACCAACTTAGATTATTCTAGAAAACTTCTAGAACTTCTTTCTAGTAACATCCTACAAAATATCTACCATTAGTTTCTAGGAAATTACAAGTGTATGGCTACGTATTTATCCTAAAAACTTCTTATGAATTGATAGGCTAGAAACTCTTCTACACACTTCCTATGCCTCTAAACAACTCATAAATAGGTCTTGTGCCTCTCATTTAAGCAAGCAACAAGAAGTAAGCTTGAAACTTGCAGTGTGTAGTCTAGCCTTGTGTGAGGTTCCCCACCAAAATAAAGAATTGTGTGAAAGTGAGTCTTCTTGTAAGAACAAGTGTTATTCTCAAAGTGTTCTATCAATAAACATTTTCCTTTCGTGTTTAGATTCTTGTGGCTCTTCAAATTTCCATCAGATTCCAAACATGATCAAAGATTAACCTATGAGAAAGCTCTTTAATTTGAAAGTGTAGGGAAATAATGTTGTTTTTGTTAAGTTAATATTTGTTACAAAAATTGTTTTATCTGAGAAAAATTTCTGATCTAACTTAACTTCAATCAAGAAGGTCTTAATCATTGTTTTATTTCCAACACTGCAACAACTACAATACTTCAGTTTGTTGCATAGCTTGACAACAGCCATATATGTCCTATGCCATATTTACCCTCAACTTGTTAATCAAAACTCAAACTTGTAATAATTTTCACTAGTTCAAGCAAACGACGCTCGATCATCATACTGCTTTTTCATTTTACATTCAAATAAAAAGATATTTCTTTACTTCTTAGCTATAGCGTTAGGTCAAAAGGCGCTAATCTAATATTTAGTAATTTCTTAAGCATATCAAGTATTCAGCTAACGTAGTTTCAGTTACAAATTTATCTATCTTGAACAGAAAATACCATACAGATTTTGAAACATTATTGTTGATGTTTGTGTCGAACTGTGCATAAGAGGCTGCAGCTCTTGAAATGCTGCCAGACATCTCGTTTGCTGCTGTATGAGGTTGGAATATTGTTTGTTCTTCTTGGGATGACGACGATCATTAAACTATAGCAAACTATCAATCGAGAAGCTGAGGCAAAAAGTATAAGGCAAATATAACATCAAGTTCCTAAAGACCTAAAACAATGCAATAATTAATCCTATAAGACAGAAAATCTCCTACTCCCTCTCCCTCCAACGTCAACCTAAAATAAACATAAAAATCTCTCACATCCCTCACATTAATACTTCAAACAATCACTAACAACAACACTGTATCAGTTCTCGGGAGGAGGGCAGATAAGACTCGCAGGGTTAATGAAAGGCAAAACACCGAACAAATTCTGCAGACACGATGTTCTGAATCACACCGCAGCAGTTGGGTCCGATCTTGAGCTTGAAGGTGAAGATAGATTGAAGGACCTCACCTGCGCATCCCGGGACGTCCTTTATCGTGCTCCAGCACTCGCCATTGAGGAATGGGAGCATGAACTTGAGGTCTTCAACGGAGTCGGCGCCTAAGCTTGGAGACGGGGCTTCTTCTATCGGGAGGAAGCGCTCGAGCTCTTCGAGTGTTGGTTGCAGCGATGGCGATGGAGTTGCGTTCGCAGCGGGGATGAGGAGGATGAAGATGGCGAACAAAGTTGTTGCTGGTTTGGCCATTTTTGATGTGTAGGTTTTTAGTGATGTAATTTGTTCGTATTGGATATGGATTGGTGAAGTGGGAGAGTAGGTTGTTGGGGTTTATATAGGAGTTGATTGTGTCTGTATTCTTGGAAAGTCTATTAATTAATTATAGATTAGTTTTGCATGCCTTAAAAAAAATTTAATGCTGCGGTTTTACCTGAAAAAGAATTAATGTTTTAGTTTTATTCATTCATGTTTAATTCTGGATTTTTTTGGATTTATGAGAGTTAAGTATAATCAATTAAGTACCACTAAAAAGTGTAGTGAACTAAGTTTTGATACTTTTTAATGTCCTCATCAAAGAAAGAAAACTGAACAATACATTTCCCAAAAACCGATGAAATGGAGTAGGAAAATATTAAGTTCATGGAGTAAAAATGTGAGAGAGTCATGTTGGCTTGTATATATTGGAGTTCCACTTGATCTTTCCATTTTTCAAGATGAAAATTAAGAAGGAAGGAAACATTTACAAAGCAAACATAAATGTAACAAATTTTAATTAATGCATGCGTATACTATATGAACGTGTTGTGTTTATTGCAGAAAACTAATCTCAAATCTATAGATTAGTTTTACTTGAAAAATTTAATTTAATGTTGCAATTTTACCTAAAAAAGAACCAATGTTTCAGTCTTATTCATTCATGTTTAATTCTGGATTATTTTTGGATTTATGAGAGTTAAGTATAATCAATCAAGTGCCACTAAAAAGTATAGTGAATTGAGTTTTAATACTTTCTAATGTCTTCATCAAAGAAAGGAAATTGAATAATTGAATGAATTGGAAAGATAATATCAAGAAACAAGCACGCTAACACGCTAGTTCTGCTCAAACTCCAATCAAACCCAAGCCCTAAAATCGTGCTTGAGTGATACGGTGAGCCAAAATTTCTTGATTTATGAATTATGATACGCTCATTTCTAATTTTCAGCTAAAACCAACAAAGATCAAGAAACTAGATTAAAAAAATTTGCAAGAATTAAAAGGGCAATATCAAGAAATCAGCAGACTATCACTGTGTAATCAAGCTTGATTGATCTGCAAAGCGTCATTTCTGGATTCATGAACCCAACTTCTGTTCTATATACAAGAAACTAAAGAAGAAAAATTACAAATAAAAAAAAGAAGTAATATGGGGAATCCAAGATTGCACCATGTATCGCATCGTAATTGTAAGTGATCAGGAACCTCAATCAAGATATCACCTGGGCTCGGGTGGAACCCCACAAATTTCCGGCCAGCTCCTTCATCTCCTATGGGCCTGCTGGGGCCCACAACTGTCGGAAGCGAGTTCTTCTCAGCGCGCGGCGGCAGCGACGGGTTTTTCACCCATGGATAGATGCCGGCGAGTGGCAGTACGGAATGGTCCCACGAAACAGTGAGGTGGGTCCGTCAGGTGGATTCTGTGGGAGCCCACTTGATGATCGTCCGGCATTGTCGGCCATGAAGAGATTCCGGGGGTGCGGAAGGGCCCACCAGCCGCGGGGTGAGCTCGCGCGGTGGGTTTGGTGGGCCGTTGTTGTATCTGCTGCCGCTGGAGATTCTCGGCGGGTGATTGTTTTCTTGTCAGGGGCAGATGGTAATTTCTCTCTTCAGTTTCTTGAATTTTTTTTTTTGGGAGGGAAATACTTTGATCTTTAGATGTATTTATTTTTCGTCCTCTTTGACTCGGACATGAAAGGAATGACTCATGAGACGGGTCACTTAGGCACAATTGGAATTGGCCTATTAGATTCTATATTTTCACGGAAAAAAAGAATTTTCTAGTATTTTTTAGAGGTATTTTCTTCAAACAATCTTTAGTACATAGTGAGGCAAGAAATACCTTAGAATTTGTTTTCAGTAAATTTCACAAAATCCCCTGAAGTTTGACCATTTTGGGATTACTCCCCTTGAGTTTAAAAATGTCACAAACCCCCTTTGAGTTTGGCCTATTTAAGATAACAACCCTAAACTCTAAATATGTCACCTAACCTTTCTTAAGTTTGGGATGTCTCAAAAGATTTCTCCAAATATTTCCAAATTTGCAAGTAACCCCCTTAATGTTGGAATTGTGTCTTTTATTCTTTGTATAATAACTTCATGAGAATTAGATAGGGTTAGAGATCTATCATGATCAGGAGATTGAGTTTCATCATGATTAGGAGTTTGAATCCTATTCTAATTAGGATGTTAGGCTAGAGATAGAGTTTTATTTTTCCTATATATATTCTTCTATTATTAGAGGAAAACCCAAGCAGAGGAGAGAGAGCCAATATTCTTGTAATCTAGGGTTAGCAGAGGGCGTAACCTGATTCAAGAATATTGTGCGAGAGGCGAGGGTTTGTAATCTAGGGTTAGCAGAGGGCGTAACCTGATTCAAGAATATTGTGCGAGAGGCGAGGGTTTCGTAGTCTTTGTCCGTGCAAAAGATTACACAAGAATATTGTGCGAGAGGCGAGGGTTTCGTAGTCTTTGTCCGTGCAAAAGATTACATCATTGGGAGATGGTTTCGCAGTCTTTGTCCGTTCAAAAGATTGTAAGGAGAGAGTTTTGGAGATAATATGAGAGTTGATTATGTATGTGAGATTAAGAGATTAAGAGATGAGAGTTGAGTGGTTCCTCTTGTAGTTCTCCCTGATACATAGTGGATTTCTTGTATTGTTGCTCGTGGACGTAAGTCGAAGTTGGTCGACTGAACCACATAAATCTCGGTGTTCTTTCTTCTTGATTGTGGTTATTTTATATCTTATTGATTGTGGGTTGGCTTACGAGTTACACAAATCATAGTAGACGGGGAGACTAAAATTCCCCAACAAGTGGTATCAGAACGATGATGATGGATCCGGGAGCAAGTTCACAAGATAGAAGACGACGTCGTGCAAAAGTAAAGATCGGCGGTGTTACAAGAATCAAGATGAAGAGAAAAAATGTACTGTAGCAGGAAATACTATAGCGGTGGTGAGAATACTGTTCGCGTGGGTGAGGATTTGCTTACAAACTTTTAAATCAAATCCGACGGTGCAGATTGATTTCTCTTTTGATCGAGGATTTGGAGGTGGATTTTGGTGATCCAGGAGTAGTTCCTATGGTTTTTCAATGTGCTGAGTTCATCTTTGACATCAGTTTTATCAAATTCAATCTCTATAGTGACTGATTTGAATTTTTATTATGGTTAGAGGATGATAACTTCTTCGGGTTCGAAGTTTGATATTCTGCTATTTAGCGACAAGACAAAGTTGATGGTAGATAGAACAAACGAGTATGCGGCGGATGAGACTGGTGTAGAGAACCAGATGTGATTCTAGTAGTAGAATTGTCAGTATATAATTATTCAGAGTCATCGCGGAAGTAGTAGTTGGTTGGTGTGTAGATTCAAGGAGGACAGTGTCAGATTAGGTGGAGCTTGCAAGCATGCACGATAGAGTGAAACACATGCTGATGGAGATGGTGGCATTGGACTTGAAGATGATGAGCGCTCATATTCAGTTCAAGGCAAGTGATGGAGGAGATAAAGGCATCCGGCTCGTAGTGTGGAGTAGGAAAGGTGCACCGATATGATTCGAGACGAACGATGCATGTAGAGTACAAGGATAGCAAGTGGGGGAAAACTACTACCAAGTTCAATTTGGAAGAACAATCATGGTTGATTTGCTTCTAATGTTAGAGGTGGCGAAGATCTCTTGGTGTGTACAAGAGAGGTGGAGGCACCGCAACAAGGTAGATAAAAGTGAGGGCATAAAGGCATCCGGTTGGGAGTGCAGGTGCTTTGATTTGAAGTGCGAAAAGAAATAGAAGACTCTAGCGGGAGAGACAAAGTTTCAAGACGACGATGATATATCTACAAGGGAGTTTGGGATCAAATCTAATATGGAGATTGTTGGGATTGTGTCTTTGATTCTTTGTATAACTTCATGAGAATTAGATAGGGGTTAGAGATCTATCATGATTAGGAGTTTGAATCATATTCTAATTAGGAAGTTAGGCTAGAGATAGGGTTTTGGTTTCCCTATATATATTCTTCTATTGTTGGAGGAAAAACCAAGTAGAGGAGAGAGAGCCAATATTCTTATAATCTAGGGTTAGCAGAGAGCGTAGCCTGATTCAAGAATATTGTGCGAGAGGTGAGGATTTTGTAGTCTTTGTCCGTGTAAAAGATTACATCTTTCAGAGAGGGTTTCATAGTCTTTGTCCATTCAAAAGATTGTAATGAGAGGGTTTTGGAGATAATATGAGAGTTGATTATGTATGTGAGATAGAGAGATTAAGAGACAATAGTTAATTGGTTTCTCTTTTAGTTCTTCCTGATACATAGTGGATTTCTTGTATTGTTGCCGGTGGACGTAAGTCAAAGTTGGTTGACTGAACCACATAAATCTCGATATTCTTTCTTCTTGATTGTGGTTGTTTTATATCTTATTGATTGTGAATTGGCTTCCAAGTTGCGCAAATCATAGTAGACGGGGAGACTAAAATTCCCCAACACTTAACAGTGTTAATGAACTGATAAAAGCCAAAAGTTTTATAGGTATATCTTTATCTTTGTACATATTGCAACTCCGGACAAGCCTACCCGTATCCTCTTACCTTGACATATTGGTTCATTATTTTACAGCGTGTGAAATGAACGTGGTCCGTCGGATTTGGTTGAACGGCTGAAAATCATTTCTCATTAAAGTCGTGAAGAAACCCTCAGATCATACACTCGAGCCGTCCCAGATTCTCCTCCCTCTCTCTCCCCAAACTCCCCTCCGACCTCAGAGCCGACGCCCTCTCGCCGACACCCTCTCCTCCGACCCCAGACCCCCCGACGGACCAGAGCCGACGCCCTCTCTTCTCGCCGTCGAGCTCCGCAGAACCCAAACTCCCCTCCGACCTCAGAGCCGACGCTCTCTCGCTGTCGCCCTCTCCTCCGACCCCAGACCTCCCGACGCCCTCTCGCCGTCGAGCTCCGCAGAACCCAGACTCCCCGTCGTTGAATCAGGTGCGTTTTTATATTCTTGCTTGATTTAGGGCTTTTTTATGTGGGTTGTTGATGTTTTGTTGGAGACAGATTTCATCTTGTTGTTAGTTTTGTTGGAGACAGATTTCATCTTGTTGTTAGTTTTGTTGGAGACAGATTTCATCTTGTTTGAAACAGTTAAAAATCGAGTCTGCTTCGATTTTACTCAATTTTAATTTCTTCTATCAGAGATATTTGAACGGTTATTGTAATTTTGAATATGAGATCTGCAGAATTTATATGATCCCATTAATTTGAACCAAACATAAATTGTGCCCAGACTTCTATGTAACATGACTGCTTGTAGAGATTGTATGAAATCGTCGTGGACGTTTGGCTTGTAGAGATCCCATTACCTCTGATGCACGTTTCATCTCCCTTGTAGAGATTGTATGAAATTTGAACTGCATTATACATTCATGAACAGGATTGTGAGGATTATAAGTGCACGCTTGGCTATTTGAGGTGTCACGTAGATTATCAATTTATCACGAAAAGTTAATTATAGACCCCCTGTACAACACGTTATGCCACTCATTACGCCTTTAGAATTGCAAATAAACCTTCTAATTCTGAATGATCATCAGAGATTTGTGAAGGACAGAGACTTTAAAATTTGCAAATAAACCTTCGGATGCCGAATGATCCTTAAGAGGCTTGTAACAGATAGTACTACTTGACATACCTGCTGATATCAAACTTAAATGTAGACCTGGCTATAACTTCATATGGATGCACATATTCTAATTTGCTCTTTAATATGATTGTCTGGTTAAACTTTTGGTTAAACTTTTGTATCTGTAGCCGTGGATCATGGAGTCATCTTTAAGCAATCGTCGTGGACTGTTGTGCCATTGTGGAAGGAGGGCTGTACTCTCCAGATCTGGAACTAAGAGGAACCCCGGTCGATTATTTTTGGGATGCGCGAATTGGAGAGAGAGTAATTGTGGATTCTTCAAATGGGTGTCTGATGAAGAGGAGTTTGAAGGTTCAAATGCAGAGCTTGTTCAGACGGATCAGTCGAGCGTGACGCCACAAGTTTCAAGAATCGTGTCAAGTGGGGAAGTGTGGGAAAGGAGAAAGCTTTCCCTTGATATTATGGATTTGTTGAAGCTTGTTCGTGTCAAGTGGGGAAGTGTGGGAAAGGAGAAAGCTTTCCCTTGATATTATGGATTTGTTGAAGCTTGTTGTATTTGCTTTTTTATTTGGTATTTTTTTCGGATTTGTATTTTGTATTTTTATTGGATTTCTACTAAGTAGGGTGTAAGAATATATTATTGAAGTGTATGTTCTCTGTTCTCTACATGTGTACTATATGCAACTTAGGTTTATGTTGAAGTGTTATGTTCTCTGCATGCCAATGCTTATCAATGGATAGCGTAGTATGAGATCCTTCTTCACTGTTGTGGTTGCTAGCTACTGTCCCCTCTTCACCGACGTCACAGGAGCTCTTGTTTCTCCTTCACCAATGCGCCACAGGAAGGCTATGAGTAGAGTTTGGAAGATTATGGATGATGTGAGAAATGTGATGGTGATTTAACAGGGGCTCTTTGAATGTCTAAGGGTCGGGCCTAGATTAAGCACAAGAAGAGAACAGAGCCCCTTCTTAAACATTAGCATTTATGTTTGCGTTGAGTTGATGTCTAAGAACAAAGCTGGGAATGCATGCGTTTGAGTTGATGTCTAAGACTTTTGAAATGAGATGGGAGAACATGCAAACGTCCAAGCAGCTATTAACTATCCAGCAGCTATTAACTATCCAACAGCATAACTATAACATGCATAACTATAACTTTTGAAATGAGATGGGAATGCAAGCAGTTGATACTGTTGACCCTATAGTTTTGATGATGATTTAGCAAACAATTCATTACTAATAATCTCTCTAGTGTTTTTGTGTTTCTAGTTTCTTTTCAGGTATTTCAAGTTCACAAGTCAATCTAGCGTTAAAGATTCAAGTTCCTTTGTATGGTTCTACCTAGGTATATGTTTAGTTTACCTACATATATTGTATGATTGTATTCAAGCTCAATATATATGCACTTAACACGATTTATAACGTTTTCTATCATATAAATGATTTTTCATTAACCGTTGCTAAAATATCTCTATCCCTTTTTTTTACAGCTCTTTCATGTTTCACTATATACGTATAATATATGCACAATATATATATGTGAATGTTTACATGTCTGAATCAAATTTCACTTTCGTAAATTTACAGGTTTTCTAAGCTGTTTTCAATAACAGGGAGTTTTAGCAAACGAAAAATGTTTTTCTAAGATTTTCTTTTCAAACATGCTTATTTCATCATTTATAAACTTTCCCCAAAATTTCACTAATTTTGGATATGATCTGATATTTTTAACGATTTTTCAAAACTCCCCAAAAACCTGTCAATTTTCTCATATCAGTTTTCGGTCGACCGATACGGTCGACCGACAGACTGTCTGTTTCTAAGAAAGTTTCCCAAAGTTTTCCGGTCGACCGAAATTTACGTCGGTCGCCCGAAATTTACCTTCGGTCGACCGAAAATTACGTCGGTCGACCGCCAGCTTCAAAACTTGTTTTCTCACGTTTTTTTTTTGAACTAATCGGTCGACCGTACCGGTCGACCGACGAGTTAACAAACTGAGCCTAACGGCTAGTTTTTCAAATGGGTTTTTTCGTCTTTTTCTCACTTCTAGCTGTTGTATTGGGGAGCTATATATACCCCATTGCTGCTCCTCTTCTAAATAGCCAAGAAATCCAAGTTTACTGTTTAGCAAAGTATTAATCGCGTTTAAGAGCTGTTTAAGAGCTGTTTCGTTAATCTGTTTTCAAGTGAAAGTTCTCTACAACAAGAAGAGGCTCTCATATTCCATTGGGATCATATTCTTCAGCTCCTCTTGTTCATTGAGAAGTTTTTCTAAACTCTTTCCATATAGCTTATTATTTCACTTTCATTTGATTAGCTATATTCATTTAAGTTATTTATTGAATTTGATTCACTATTATCACACACTTATTGAGCTTGATATTTCCATATTATATATTGTGGGATTGTGGAGTGTGATTTAGTGAGTGTGAGCTTCATTGTGTTCTCACGTGTCAATTGAGAACAAATTACTGTATTTGACTTTTATTTGTGAGAATCACTTGTAATACACTTGTACACCGAGAGAAGTGTGAGGAGAGAGAGAGTGTAGAAGTTCCGGCTTCCAAACCGGAGTGTGATAGTGGATATCTCCTCGAGGTGAGGAGCGGGGACGTAGGTCGTGGGGACCGAACCTCGTGAACATATTGTGTGTTTGCGTTTTGCTTGTCTCATTTTTATTTGTACATATTCTTACTGATCTTATTATTCATATCTATCTCTTGCAAGAACTAATTGATCAACATAATTTTAAATTGCTATTAATTGGGATTAGATTAGCATAAGACCCTAATCACCCCCCCTCTAGGGTCTAACAGATACACGGTGCAAATTATAACATGCAGCATAACTATCCAGCAGTAGCAAACGTCCAAGCTATTAACAACAGAACCAAGCAACTACAACATGCAGCAGTAGCAAACGTCCAAGCTATTAACAAAGCATCATGACATAAAAGCAAACTTCACAGTGCAAACCTCTGCATGATGCACCATAACTATCCAACCTTTCATCACAAAGTCAGCAACAGAACCACCAAAAGATGAAAATAAGCAACAATAAAATGGAACATCATTCACTATCCAACCTTGATCAATACAGAGAAAATAAGCAATAGTGTCTCAATCATTCATCACAAAGTCAGCAACAGAACCACCAAAAGATGAAAATAAGCAACAATGAAATGGACTTAAATATTAAACATAAGATGAAACATCATTCACTTGGGGTACCACACAAATACATAACCAAAGATACAAAACTAAACCCATTGGTGCTCTGCCTTCATCAACCCCTTCTCACCAATAGTGATATGATTTGCTCTGCCAACCTTGATTAAACTTCACGCAATAGTGAGAACTTCATCTGTATTAAAAAAATTAAAAAACAAATTGCTTCATCACATTATATAATACAAATGGCAATGTACAAGTTATTCCATATGTATTAACCATTACCTTCCTCAAATGAATCTTCTAAATCATCCGTGGCTTCATCAATGTTATCTTGTTCCATTGAATCACTATAAAAAAATTGATTATAGCAAAACATATTAAAGATCATCGCACCAACTTAAAAAAAGTTTAAAGAAATAATAACTTTAGTATTACTAAAACAAATGATACACTACCTTGACAACTTTAGAGGGCAATTTCTGCTATCATGATTTTGTCCTCGCTTTCCACACAATTTGCATTTCCTAGGCCGGCATCTACGGATCTCTCTCGATGGCTTTAACCTCTTCCCTTTAGGCCTTCCTTTTGTTCTTGCTTGACTTGGTTCATGAACTATATCTTGAGAACACTCCTCATCCACATCTTGTCCAATTTCTTCATCATTGACGAGTTTCAAACGTTGCACCTTATTAATAGCATCCATCATCATTTCACGCATTAATTCATATGCATCATTAGAAGATAGCCCCTCTTCGACCATTTCATTAGCTAAGCAATTTAGTTCACTAAAACGAGAAGCAAAATTAATTGTGGCATTATCTCCAATAATATTACCATCTCTAAGAACGACCCTTTTTCTAACATTTCGGCACCATCTTCTTAGAATATATTGCTCCGGTAACTAACTATGATTGGTAATTTTAAGATATGTCAAGATATGTCGGCATGGAATGCCCTTGAATTCAAACATGAAAACTATGATTGGTAATTTTAAGATATGTCAAGATATGTCGGCATGGAATGCCCTTGAATTCAAACATGAAACACGAACAACGGACCATTTTAGTTGTTTTGCAATATATAATATGTCTCAATTTTTCATCATGACCACAAAAATTTAATTGGAAAGTACTTTCTCTTTCATTTTCTTTTACTAGCTCAATGTTATACATTAAGCTAGGTTGAAGCTCGTCTTGAAAAATATAAAAGATTTTTTTCGTGTAGATTTGGGCCATTTGTTTTTCCATTGACCATAAAGTCTTCAATTTTGGCTTTTTCTCTATTGTGCAATGATCTTCTTTAAGCTCCCCCTCTCTTTGTCTCGCCAAGACCCTCTGAAATATAGTCACGAAATCATGAAGTGAATTTTTCCTCGATATATGTTTTTTTAGCAATGCATTCATCCCTTCACTTCTTTGACTGCTAGACATGCCGGCCCAAAAGTATTGTTTATGATAAACGGTAGCCCATTTTTCACGAATTTCATAGATATCATTTAGCTAATCATGCTTTTCCAATCCATTTTTCTTAATAATTGAAACCCATTTCTCTTCAAAAGAGCTAGCACCGTCGGAGTCCCAAATATTTTCTTTGAAAGGTTTCATAAATTCCGTTCTATAAGCCCATTGACCCAACTTCTCCGGAACTTTGTCCAAGATATGCCAAATGCAAAACCTATGCCGAATTTCTGGAAAAACTGTTTCAATTGCCTTGCATATGCCAAGACATTGATCTGTAATCATACCCGAAGGAGGATGACCCATTGCTTCAATCCATTTGTTAAACAACCATACAAAAGACTTCGCCTCTTCGTTTGGGATCAAGCCACATCCTAAAAAAACACTTTGCCAATGGTGATTTATGCCTACAAACGGCACAAATACCAAGCCATATTGATTTGTGTTATGCGTGGCATCGAAGGAGACAACATCGCCAAAGTGTTGATAATTCATTCGAGCAATGCCATCCACCCAAAAACAATGAGTTAAGCGCTTCTCTTCATCAACTTCATAAACATAATAAAATGAAGGATTCTTCTCTTGTTCCGACTTGAAATGATCCAACATCATTTGTGCATCATGACCACGCCTCTCCTCTCTCAAATCTCTTTCATAATTTCTCACATCGGTCTCAATGCATCCAATTCTATGAAAACCTCCGCTAGAGTTTTCAAAGAAGGCCATTTGCTTGTTTGTTGGAATGTTCACCTCTCCAAACTGTTTTATTAATGTCTTCTTCGCATGCACTACCTCACGGTTTCCCCTTAGAAATGTGTTCTGCTCGGTGAAGTAATTGTATGATTATGTTCTTCCACGAACTTGTAGACACTCCATATGCCAATGTTTTTGTCTAATTTGAAGCGAATCAAGGCCTTACAATTTGTTCTAATTGTACCACATCGTCGAATTTCCAACGATTTGCTCTTTAACACTCCTTCTTTCGAACAAACATAACTTTTGCAAATTAACTCTCTATCCTTCCCATACTTTGTTGTGCTATTACGGATATCAAAACCTCCGACCTTTCCGTAATTTCTGTAGAATTTTTCAGCATCTTCTAAACTATCGAAAGTCATTCCTATTTTTGGCTTTAAGTGCTCATCAACAATTGGCACAACTAAGTTATCTAACTGGGATATTTGTTCATCAACAACATGGGAGTAACCATCTTCAGTTTCTATTGGATCAGACATCAAGAACAATTTTTACCTACAAAAATTAACATCAACAACAAACATCAAGAACAAACCATCAAAGACTACTATGCACAAACATAAACAAATATCTTTCAAGTATCAAAGACTACAGTTATTATATGGGGTGTTTCCTGTAAAAAGTTATTATATGGTGAAGCATCTCATGCAACAGAAAAATGTCAGAGAGTAAAAGTTTGAAACTCAAAGTCTAAGCACTAGTTTAACGCCACTAATCTACATAATTGACAAACAAATACCGTATCTGTGCATAATTTAATTTATTTATCGCCAAATGAACGGTCATGGGAGGTGAAAAACAGCATATGTTTTCAGGTTGAGAAAAATGTCGTATATTTTTTTTTGCATATTGTCCATTTGCCCAATTGAGGCTAGAAAACTTTGAATTCGGTCTAATCCTCTTGGAGTTGTTTAGTAAACGATGGAAAAAATAACAAGAATAGCAAGAATCAAGCAAGTAATCGCTTAAAAATTAATCGCTTAAAAAATAACAAGAATAACAACAACCTCGACGGGGAGTCTGGGTTCTGCGGAGCTCGACGGCGAGAAGAGAGGGCGACGGCGAGAGGGCGTCGGGGGGTCTGGGGTCGGAGGAGAGGGCGACGGCGAGAGGGCGTCGGCTCTGAGGTCGGAGGGGAGTTTGGGTTCTGCGGAGCTCGACGGCGAGAAGAGAGGGCGACGGCGAGAGGGCGTCGGCTCTGAGGTCGGAGGGGAGTTTGGGGAGAGAGAGGGAGGAGAGTCTGGGACGGCTGAAATGAGGTCACGAGGTGATCTGAGGGTTTCTTCACGACTTTAATGAGACTCGATTTTCAGCCGCCAAACATACCCATTTTTCTCATATATATATATATATATATAAGAAAAATAGGTATGCTTGGTACCAAGTATAAGTTTTTGTACTTGGTAGTGAGGTGATATATTCCCCTCCACTCATTAAAATCGGGATCCAGATTCACATAGGTTGGAGAGTGATTGATCCACATTCACTTGAGTTGAGGAGTGGTTGGGAATTGGAATGAGTAGATGGGAATATACACCCTACTACTAAGTATAAAATTTATGATTGGTACTAAGGTACCCATTTTTTTCTCTCTCTCCACACACACACATGTGTGTGTGTAGGCATTAAAAAAATGCCAAGTTCCAAAATATGAGAAGGATGGTCAGGAAAACGAACTTCGTCTCAATTAGAGATGAGGCTTGTCGTTTAGTGAAAATCAACATCGAGAACGAGAGTTGCTACTTAGCAAAGCTCGACATCAAAAGACAAAGCTCATTGTTGAATGAAACTGATCTATGAGACTCGGAGCTCGTCATTGGATACGAGGTTTGAGGTTCACTAGTGGATACGGGGTTCAAAGCTCGTCATTGGACATGAGGTTTGAAGCTCATTACCAGACGTAAAACTCATTAGTGAAGATGAGGCTCGTCAAAAGGAAACTTACAAGACTTGCTATGTAGTTGGACTCAGCTGTCGAAGATGAACTTCGTTAGTGAAAACGAGGTTCGTCAGAAGAAGTCAGTGAAGACAAAATTCGTCGGAAGAAGCTGGTCTGCTACAAGGTTTTCTTGGTAAGACGAACCTCGAGGCTCGTCTTACTTGACGGACTCCGTTTCAATTAAAGACGAGGTTCGTCATCCACGTGGGATTTACCTGTAATGGCTCCGAAGATCTAGTTAGCCACGTGGGCTAATCTTCAGGAGCATGTTACGGCATGCGCTGATTTAGGGTGGTAGTTACGCCCCTCTAACCATGATTATAGCACGTCAGTTACGTGCTTAAAACCCTATAAATAGCCATCGATGGACACAGAGAAAAGGGTTGATTGGTTGTTGATTAATTGGAGATTTTAGACTTGGACTTAAAGAAGCATCAGAGATCAGAGTTTTTGCGCACGGGTCCGGAGTTCGAATCTCAATTCCGGCCAGCTAACGGACAGCTCCAGCAACCTTGATCTGATCGTCAATGGGAGGCAATCTCGACTCAAGCATCGAGAGAAGCATCCTTTCGCTATCAAGAACCCACCTTAAACAAAAGAGAAGCTAAATTAATCTTCTCTTCCTCTGTAATCGAGAGATCGTGAGTGATTGTAAGGGTTTTGTACCAAGTGATCGAACCCAAATTTCTTAAAACAAGAGAATCAATCAATCCTTAAAATTTTTGACCCTACAGACGATGGCGATCACAGTGGGAGCAGCCATTATTTTCGACGAGATGGTGGTAGCACAATCTGACAAGATCGCTATGAGAATGGGTGTAGAGACTTTGGTCATCGAATTTGACCAGTCCAAATACGAGGAGTTCCTCTCCTCTGGTAAGTCTAGCCCCACGAAGGCACGTAAGTGTCGTCAAGTCTTGTATGAGACTTCAGCCCGAGTAGCTTCTGATGATTCAACTCGAGTTAGTCTCGAAGAAAAGTCCATGTCCCTCAAAGAGGAGGCTCCAGTAACTAGCAGTCAAGCTAAGAAATAGGTTGTCAAGCAACCTAGCCGAACTTCGGCTTCTACTAGCCAAATCTTGGCTTCTGGTAACGAACCTCGTCCAGCTTCGACTAAAGTGGTTGTTTCTGTTAGTCCACTGTCGAGACGTGCACAACAATGTCAGCGCCAGAACCAAGCTCGCCGTAGGACTCGAGTCTTGATCTTGCTAGACGGTTTTCACTATCGACCGAGAGCTGACCAGCCCAAGGACAACAAGTCCGACGAGGGTCAGGTGATTGAGGAATGTCAAAATGACAGACCTCATCCTCATACCCGAGTAGGCTCAAAAAACGAACCTCGTCCTCAAAAAGAGGTTCAACAAATTCAACAAGTGGTTCATACCGAGGTTCATAAAGAAAATGAACTTCGAATTAAGAACCAACTGAGAAGGCACATGCGCGAAGCTCATCCTACCAATGAACCTCGTCATAAACATCTGAATGACGAAGTTTGTCCAGCTACCCAAGTTCGTCAACCTCCTAGAGGGTCTCACTCGGGTAAGGCTAAGTTGACAGAGTCAGCTAGGGGTTGTCCTGCTGGTGACCTTCAAGATTATCTCACACGCAAGCGTAATATAAATCAGAAGCAATCTCATTGTTTCTATGAGAAGCTTATTTCTACAGTACTTTTGCAATGCCCATGTGGAG